TAAGTACACGTGTTTTGTAATATTTTCTTATCCTCTAACATGGCAAAGAATACATTTTTTCATTTTTTCCTACTTTTAACCTTGGGAGTTTTAAAATTCAGAGACCAGCTTTTCATTTTAGATAATGTTTAAATTAATCACTTAATTTAAATTAATGTGGACAATGGCGACAAAAGGTAATTATATTTAAGTGGTATTCTAATGCAGAATTCCTTTGGGAGTATCCGTGAGTCACCCAGTTCAATGCAAATATCCATAAAACATGCACTAATTGTTCCAGAAGGAAATGATTGTTTCAGAAGGGCAAAAGGCCAACTAAGTGGAAATACCAGGTTCTTAATTTATAAAGTCAATAAAAGCACTCTTTTGTAAGCTCTTCTCAAGTCGTAGCATATTATCAGGAAAATCTGGCACAAAAACCACTTTATGCTTAAATACTTCACAAGGGCACAAAACAAGGGAACATACACTAAGAGCTTCTTGAATACATTTTGTGAGAGACTTAATACTGTGTGAATTTACTCAGCTTTCAAGAACACAAGGGCATTTTAAGTTAAAAAAAAAAAAGTTGCCAGTTACATACTCAAGATAAAAATACACGCTATTAACTATCTGCAATATATAATAATTCACGGAACTTTTACAGCAGCCACTCTTCGGAAATTCCACTCAAGGTCCCTGAAGATTCAGGAAATAATGCTCCTTCTCCCCTTTTAAGCAATGTGTCTCTTTGTACAAATGTAGGGTTGAATTAATACGAATTTTTTTCCTAGGTGGCTTGCTGCCAATAGCGGGAGGAAAAAAAGATAACCAAGAACCACAGATACTCTGCAGGTGAACTCGCAGCCTCCTGCTGCTGGGTGCCAGGGCCCTGGGCTCTCCCTCCTGCTTCGGGGTTCAGAAGGCGCCTCCCCTTCTGGGTGGCAATCGCCAGAGAGAGACCCTGCCCTGTAGGGCGGTAAGGCAGCCCTGTAGTCACCAACCTGTGACCATCCTTACGTGGTTCCCGTAACGGTGTCCACTGGTCGGGGGCGAGGAGCCTACTCCTTTTAAGTTTTAACAAAGAAGTCTCAAGCTGCCTAAAGAAACACACATTTGGGGGGAGGATTAAAAAGGAATACACAACACACAACTGTGTTCCAAATGTGTGAAATACCCCTGTAGATTAATCAATCTAAAGCAGGCGTGGCAACCCTGTTCCCTTTGCCAGTTACGGGGCAAGGGGTGCAGCGCTGGCCAATGAATGGAGGAAATTTGGGGGTGGGGGGTGGCGGTTGTTTATAAAAGCTTTTCTTGTCAGAAGAAAAGACTCTTGGGAAAGTCTTTAATCACAGCTCCCTCTTTCTACCTTGGATTTGGTTGCATGGAATTGCAGTATCCATCTTGAGACCAAACACGCTGAAGGACAAAAAGCCATTGCACAGAGCACGGCAGAGCGAGCCCAGGGTCTGGGGCTCGGTGGTGCTGCTGAGCCACTGTGCCACATCTGCAGCTCCTACCCAGGAGTTTCGTAATGTAAGACAAAGAAATACCTCTGATTTAGTAGTTCCCTGTTAATTGCAGCCTAAAAGAATTCCTTAATTCATACATCCTGTCATTGTTTTTTTAAACCTTTATTGATGTATATCCACCAACATTCCTCTATCCCAAGAACACCCATGAAAGGGAGACATGTAGACTGCTAAAGATATAGAAGTCTATAGTTCATGATTTTTAAAGAAATGTAGCTTGGAATCTGGAGTCTGAGGCCTGGGTTTAAATCTCAGCTCAGCTCTGCGTTAGCTGTGCGTCCTTGGACAGGCTCCTTAACATTGATAACCTTAGTTCCTCATCTGTTACATGCAGGTGGTAGTCTTGCTCACACAGAGCTGCTGAGAAGACTGAATTTAGTATAGTACTTCATAGACAGATAGTTGGTGCTCAACATGCTATTACTGTCATCCTAAGTCCCTCTTCCCTTTATGGCAGTAGACAGATCCACATGTCCTATGGCTGAGTACTTTTTAGACGTGAAAACACTGACTCTTAGAGTGTGAAGCCTTATCTTTCACTTTTCTTTCCTCCTTGTTGATCTTATTTCGTATTTGTGGGTGACCCCAAAATTGTTTTTTCTTTGAGACAGGGCCTCGTTCTGTTTCCCCAGCTAGAGTGCTTCTCACAGGAACCTCAAACTCCTGGGCTCAAGGGATCCTCCTGCCTCAGCCTCCCTAGTAGCTGGGACTACAGGCACAAACCACCATGCTTGGCTAATTTTTCCATTTTTTTGTAGAGACAGAGTCTGGCTTTTGCTCAGCCTGGTCTTGAACTCCTGACCTCAAGCCATCCTCCTGCCTTGAACTCCAAGAGTGCTGGGATTACAGCCGTGGGCCACTGTGCCTGGTCCCTGACCCAAAACTTTTCATAGCTTTGAGCTCTGTCTCAATATTTTTAAGTATATGAAACTTAAACACTTCAACTTTTTATTCAACTGAAGTGCCGTAGCACTTCGAATCTTGACATTGATTCCATAACATTCATTCAAAAAGGATTTTCCAGTTCAAATCTTCAGAAAGTCATTTTTTAAGTTATAAAAGATATGCTTCTTATATTCTCCCCCAGATCCTACTTCTGAGCAGGGATATTGTTGCTTGTTCCAATAATTTGTTCCTTATTTACAGCTAAGTAGTATTTCATTATATGGATATGCCACAATTTGTTTATCCTTTCACCAGTTGATGGTCATTTGGTTTTTTTGTCCTTTTTCTTGGCTATTCCAAATAAATTTGCGATGAATATTTGTGTCCAAGTCTTTGTCTGAAAACACACTTTTATTTTGGGGGATATATACCTAGTAGTGGAATGGCTAGATCATATGTTAAGTATAATTTTCACTTTTAAGAAACTACCAAACTGTTCTCTAAAAATGATTGTACCATTTTACATTACCACCAGCAGTGGGAAGACCAGTTGCCCCAAATCCTTGCCAACACTTACTATGATCAGTTTTTAAAAAATTGAAGCCATTCTAATGGGTGTTCAATGGTATTTCTTTCTGGTTTTAATTTGTGTTTTCCTAATAACTAATGATATTAAGCATCTTTCATTTGCTTATTTGTACATCTTTGGGGACGTGTGTGTTCAAATCTTTTGCCCATTTTTAATTGGGTTGTTTGTTTTTTTGAGTTGTGAGAATTCTTTATATAGCTATAATTCCTTTGTCAGATATATACTTTGCAAATATTTTTCCCAGTTTGACTTTTCATTTTCATAAGTGTCTTTTGAAGAGAAAAGCTTTTTTAAGAATAGCTCCATATGTATGAAAAAAATTGGATTTGTTAAATACTTAAACTTATTAAAATATTTCTCATGAAAAAAGCCTTCCCAATCCAGCCCCAGATTGACTTCACTACTGAATATTTAAGGAATATACAATACCAATTCTACACAAACGCTTCTAGAAAATAAAATAGGAAAAAAGAATGCTTCACAACTCATTCTGTGATGCCAGCATTGCTGTGATTCCAAAATCAGATAAAGAAATCACAACAAAGCTACAAAACATTCCTTATGAGTATAGATATAAAAATTCTTAACAAAATTTTAGCAAATCAAATTCAATAATATATAAAATAATAATAGATCATGACCTAGTGAGGTTTATCCTAGGAATGCAAAGTTGGCTTAACATGTGCACCTTAATCAATGCAATTTATTAAATAGACTAAGAAAAAAAAAACCCATATGATCATCTCACAGATGCAAGAAAAACACTTAGAAAAAAAGTTGATTGCTAATTTTAAAAAAATGCTCTCAGCAAAGTAGGAGTGCAAGGGCACTTCCTCAATCTGATAAAGAGCATCTATGAAAGCCTTTTTTCTTTTTTAAAGAGACACAGTCTTGCTCTGTTGCCCAGGCTGGAGTGCAGTGGCACAAGCATAGTTCATTGCAGTTTCAAATCCTGGGCTCAAGGGATCCTTCAGCCTCAGCTTCCCCAGTAGCTGGGACTACAGGTGCATGCCACCATGCCTGATTAATTTTTTTTTTTTTTGGTAGAGATGGGATCTTGTCATGTTACCCAGGCTGGTCTTGAACTCCTGGCCTCAAGCGACCCTCCTGCCTTGGCCTCCTAGAGTGCTGGGATTACAGGTGCGAGCCACTGTTCCCAGCCTGAAAGACCCCTTTTCTTTCTTTCTTTTTTTTTTTTGACAGAGTGTCACTCTGTTGCCCGGGCTAGAGTGCTGTGACATCAGGCTAGCTCACAGCAACCTCAAACTCCTGGGCTCAAGTAATCCTTCTGCCTCAGCCTCCCGAGTAGCTGGGACTACAGGGATGCACCACCATGCCCAGCTAATTTTTTCTATATATTTTTAGTTGGCCAATTAATTTCTTTCTATTTATAGTAGAGACAGGGTCTTGGTCTTGCTCAGGCTGGTTTAGAACTCCTGACCTTGAGCAATCCTCCCACCTCAGCACCCCAGAGTGTTAGGATTACAGGCGTGAGCCACCAAATTACACTTTTTATTACCTGCTTCCACCCATACGCTCCTTAAAGGCAGGGATCTTGTTTGATGCTATGTCCTCAGTGCTTACAAAATGCCTGGAACACAGAAGTTGCTCAGTATCTGTTACATAAATAAACTCTGACCAAGAATGCCTGCTCTTCCAATATCCAGGCATTATACGTCTTTATAATCTTTGACAACAGATCATGTGAGAAATAGTACCTCTTTAATTTATATTTCTTGAATATGAGTATAGTTGAATATCTTGTTTTTTGGGTTGGCCTTTGTGTTCTTCTCAGAAAACTATCTTTCTATATCTCTTGCTCAACTTTTCTTTTTCCCATTGCTTTGGAAGAGGTATTGATACATTAAAGAAATTATTTCTTTGTCCATCATATACTACAAATATATTTTCCCAGTTTGTCCTTTGTTTTTGACTTTGTAGTCATGTTATCAATCTTTTCCTTTTAGCTTCTGGGTTTGAGGCATGCTTAGAAAGTCTTTCCCTGTTCCAAGATGATCAAAGCATTCATACTTGTTTTCTTCTAATACTTTTATATATTATATATAAAAGATTATAGTGTTTAGATCTTTGATCTGGAATTTAACTTGGGGTATAAAGAGTAACGAAGTGATTTAGTTTAAAAAGTAAATTTAGCTTTAAAATACAATAAATACTAATTTCTAGATATTATATAATTTATTGTTTTAACTTTCTCAAAGAATATTCATAATTTGAAAAATACAAAGTTCACCTGTTTTATAATATAAATTTTTATAAGTACATTGATACATACATATGTGTATGCATATGAATGTGTATCTATATGCAATAAAATTATATTTTCCACAATTCTTTGGAAGTCATATTACAATTTGACATTATTACCACTATTAAAGTATTTTTCCAAAAAAGTTTCTATTTCATTTTTCTCAATGCCTTCTTGCTTTCCTGGATCTTCTGGATTTCTTTTTTGTTTTACTGTATTTGTTTTTAAAAAGTTTCCTTTCAATTAAGCTCACTTCTTCATGGAGTAAGGAGGTCTTTATTCTTAGCAGGAAGGAGAAGAGATTTAGTATAAACTGGTAACTCAGAGAAAAATTTGATTCTTCATAGGTTGTCAAATGTTTACAATAGCTAGAAGGAAAAGAAAAAATATTAAGTTCACTTTAAATGGTAATTTAGAAATACATGCACAAACTCCTAAACGCCCCCCAAATAATTTAGCAAATATATATGGTCAGGCTTAAAATAGTACTCTGAGCTGGAAGGAAACTTAGAACAATTTGGTAAAACTCCTTAACTCTATAAAGGAAAATTTTTTCAGTATCCATGGCCACCATGTAAAGGACACAGCTGGTGCTGGGCGCTGGGCTCATGACTCCTCACCCAGAGTTTCTTCCACTCCAGATGGGTCACTACCCACCTTCTTACCATGATCAAGGCAAACAAAAGCACATAAGAGATTCTGAACATATTTTTAAAATAAACTAAAGAAAACAAATAATCCCTGACTCCCAGTCAAAATAAGAACTCAGGCTTTATAATGTAGCTTTGCAATCCTGTATATAGTGTAGAAAAAAGAGTTTACTAAGCAATTTCACTTATTTTAAAACAGCCAAACCTGAATCTGATCAAATTTCTAACTAATGCTAACTGTCAATCTCTACACCAAATTATAGGCAATCCAGGGATAGAGGAACATGTTAAATAGTATCATATGGCTGTCATCAGTAAAATCCAAACTATGGGAAATTTTACAGGACACATATGATGGGGATTACTCAGCAAGTACATTGTAAGGGGGAGGAAAGAGAGAGAAAAAGAAGGGGACCTCATGAACTAAAAACACTTAAGGGCTATATCAACCATGCAGTTCTGAGTTAAACTCATTAAAAAAATTATATGACTATTGAGAATATCTAAACATTGACCACATGTTTGATAATATTAAGAAATTAGTATTAATTTTTTAATGTCTGATTAATAGTATTATGGCTTTATTTTTTAAAATATGGTGTTTGGGATCGACTTGCAAATAATGGGGGGCAAGGGGTGAAGAAGTGAGTTGAGCCCTGGGTGAAGCAAGTCCAGTCACGTTATAACTGTTGTCACTGGGTGACAGGGACAGGAGGGTTCTTTATATAATTCTTTCTACTTTTGAGTATACTTGAAACTTCCCATGATAAAGTTTAAAAAACAAGTAATCAAATAACATATAGAAGCTACAAACTTTGAGATATTGATTTATATAACATATATGACCCTAAATTACTGACATCTATATTTACACCACAAAGCTCTGCCACCCATCAGCTGTGACTATGGATAACTACTCTTGCTTCTCTCAACTATAAAATAGTAAAATAATGACCACCACCACCAACAGTACTTACACTTCATAGGGTTTATAAAAATATTAAATAAGAATGTATGTTAAGCACGTAACCCAAGGCTTGGCACAGAGTAACAGCTCAATAATGTTCATTTCTCCTATATGTCTTTAAAATTGATTATTTTTGTTTTCACTTAAAATCTTAAGGCTATTTTAAGTAAAAATACCCAATAAAGTCGACATTCTACCATTTTCACTGGTAGGAAAATTAAGAGTCTCAGGCCAGCGCGGTGGCTCACGCCTGTCATCCTAGCACTCTGGGAGGCCGAGGCGGGCAGATTGCTCAAGGTCAGGAGTTCGAAACCAGCCTGAGCAAGAGCAAGACCCCGTCTCTACTATAAATAGAAAGAAATTAATTGGCCAACTAATATATATACAAAAAATTAGCTGGGTATGGTGGCGCATGCCTGTAGTCCCAGCTACTTGGGAGGCTGAGGCAGAAGGATTGCTTGAGCCCAGGAGTTTGAGGTTGCTGTGAGCTAGGCTGACGCCACAGCACTCACTCTAGCCGGGGAAACAGAGTGACACTCTGTCTCAAAAAAAAAAAAAAAAAAAAAAGAGTCTCAAATGTTTGATCATTAATTGGTTTAATAAAGATCAAATATGTATCTTTAAAGTAATTCTTGCAAATATGCTAGCCTCTTGCTTTTCTACTTTTCTAATATTTTAGTTTCAGCTATATTGAGAGAGGTTCTTTCAGACAAAATGTTATCACAAAAAGGGTAAAAAGTATTGTTTCTCTTACATGGGGACCATAAGGAAAGCTCGATTTCTACACCGGAAAGGTATACAAATTATCTGATTGACTACTAATACCTTATAATGGATTATAGTCTTTACCATAAACTCAGAAAAACATCCTAAAGTCATGAGATAAAACCAAGTTTAACATACAATAATTTGCTATTGCCAATTTTTACTGTGAGTAGAACAAGCGATGTCCCTTGAACTCTGTCATTTAAAATAAAGATGTGGTAAATGGATGCTGTCAGAATGTTTATATGAATACTTCATGCAAGTGGATAAACATGGGTCTCAATTTAAAAGAAGGTAGCAGTGTAAAGGTACAACCTTCCTTATGAGAAGTTCAAAAGTAAGTAAAAGGAATAGTCTGAAGACTGCACACAAAAAGTAAACCTGACAACACAGTTACTGTTTTGGTGGTCTCGAATATGTTGAAAGTTGGAACTTTTTTTTAAGAGGCAAGGTCTTGCTATGCTGCTCAGGCTGGAGTGCAGTGGCTATTTGCAGGCACAATCACAGCACGCTACAGCCTCACACTCCTAGGCTCAAGGGATCCTTCCACCTCAGCCTCCCAAGCATTAATAGCTAGGATTGTAGGTGTGTGACACTGTGCTCCGCTAAGCATATGACATATTTCAGTATTTTTCTTTACTATAGTTTTCAGAAATAGTTGAAATTCAATTTTTAAAAATTCAAATCAAATTTTTGTGGGACAGCCAAAGCACCTCCCTTTCCTGTGGAATACAACTAGAAAACCACTGCTCTACCTCTGCCTACAGTAGGACACATGAATTGCCTGCCCCTCTCAGGGCCATCGCCTATGGCAGGTCTGTCGACCTAGCCAATTGTCATAACTGGCCTACTTTAGTTTCAGATGGGACCTCTATAGATGTGAGGAGTAAGGGCACTTCAATTCATTGAAATTGTTAGCTCTGCCTCAGGTAGGAAGGATAAACAGTTTCCCACATCTGAAGTGCTCTTGTGGACTTTCTCTGCTTAGTTCCCAAGGTCTGAGTGTTCTCACAATTATTTTACAGTACATGCTTGTTTCTTTTCAACCCTCAGAAATAAGTCCTCGTATATATATAGCTTAAGATCTGCTCTCTTTTTTTTTTTTTGAGACAGAGTCTCGCTTTCTTGCCTAGGCTAGAGTGAGTGCCGTGGCGTCAGCCTAGCTCACAGCAACCTCAAACTCCTGGACTCAAGCGATCCTCCTGCCTCAGCCTCCCGAGTAGCTGGGACTACAGGCACAAGCCACCATGCCCAGCTAATTTTTATATATATATACATACATACATATATATATATATATATATTAGTTGGCCAATTAATTTCTATTTTTATAGTAGAGATGGGGTCTTGCTCAGGCTGGTTTTGAACTCCTGACCTCGAGCAATCCGCCCACCTCGGCCTCCCAGAGTGCTAGGATTACAAGCGTGAGCCACCGCGCCCAGCATCGGATCTGCTCTCTTAAGCATTAAAAACTTTTCATTTTTATAATTTTGGATAGAAATCTTTAAAAACCGAGTTATGCGTTACTTGGTTGTCTTAAACCACATATTCAGCATAATTTGTTTTTAGCCTTTACAATTACATTTCTATAAGTTGTCCATTTTTATTGCAGAAATATTAGAAAATATGGCTATGAAAAACAAACCCAAAGAGAATGCACACAACACCTCGGGGCATGCTCTGTGCTGAGGTAGAGACAGGTTCCAGCTTATCTAGTGATGTAGAGCCATGAGTTGCGTGTCATAAATGAACTTCAGACCACTGTCATGAATTTTTTTTCTGCTTTGGATTCTGATGCTGGCTCCTCTACTGTCTGTCAGAGGATGTCACTTAGGGTTGCTGTCAAGATGTCTATCAGCACAGCACCTCTCACATCCCACCTCCTCTGTTTCTTTGGATGGCTGGGAGTTTGGAAATCAGACAACTTAGCTAAGGGTAGTCAGCAGGCTCTGAGTAAGGGGCTATGGGGCTCATGAGAAAAGTGCAGAAACTTTAGTCATGGTCTCAGTGACATTTTTATTGGTTGGCTGAAACCTTTTTTGCTACTACTCTGCAGTTTGAGGTTGTGGTCTAAAATAGGCAGGGTTAACAGGTAAGTTTGGTGCATAAAGTCATGGCATTACTGAGATTTTGTTGATAGTTGAGTTTAGCTTATAGTTTGTACAGAGAAAAAAATCTCAGCTGTTTGACAACTGATTATACCAACATCTATTTTTAATTCACTGTGCTACACTGCAGTATTAAATCCAAGAAGAACATCTACAAATACACCTATGTACCCCATGAGGAAGCACAAAGATATAGATCACCCCACACGCTGCTCAGGATTGGCTCTGCAGCCAGAGGGAGAAGGCAGCCACATGCAGCCCACCGCTGCCTTCACTTGGGGCCTCCTGGCAGCACTCCTCACTGGCCAGGACTACAACCTTTCTCCTCCTTTTGATGAAATCTTAAAATCTGGAATGCCATTGTACTGACCAAAGTAATATACCACCTCAGATGTAAAGCCATCCCTGGATTGGGGTTCTGGCCTTTCATAGTTGCTGCTGCTAAGACAGTGCTGCTCCTTAATCATTATAGGTGCATCTAAATGGTTTTGTTCTTTTCCCTTTAGAGACAAGGTCTCACTCTCTCTCCCAGGCTGGAAAAGATCAGTGGTGTGATCATAACTCACTGTAACCTAGAACTCCTGGCCTCAAGTGATCCTCCCACTCCAGCCTCGCAAAGTGCTGGGATTACAGGGGTGACCTATCATGCCCGGCCTAAACTTTTTTTAAGCAGCAAATTTTAATATGGACAACTTCATATTATCATATCCAACTGTATTTTCTACATTTATCTCTAACTGATACCATTTCACAGGGAGTGAAACTTTTCAATGATCAAGTTATCTGTTATTGAATACTTACTATGTGACAGATACTAAATGTCTCATTCAATTCACAAGAGCCTGAGGCAGGTCCTATTTTCCACTCATTTATTCGCTAAATTCTTGGTGAGATTTCCTCTGCACTTGACCCTAGTCTAGCCACTGGGATTTTTCATTAAATAAAACAGAGACCCTGTCCCCAAGGCCCTTACGTTCTAGCATGGGGAGGTGGATGAATAAGCGCATAAATATGTAATCCATTCAATAGTCATGAAAGCTACAACTCTGTCCCCCTCTCTGCCAGGGGGACAGAGAATGATAACAGGTGTGGAAGGAGGGTTGGTGTTATTTTAGGCAGAATGGTTAAGAAAGGCCTCTCTGAGGAAGTTTAATTTGAGCACAAACCTGAAAGAAGTAAGCCATGTGGATATATGGGGGGAAGAACATTCCAGGCATAAGGTACAACAGGTGCAAAGGCCTGCCTCCGGTGTTTGGGGGAGTGTTTGGTAAATTAAAGGAGCAGTTCAGAGGTCACTGTGAGCAGAGAGTGACAGCAAGGAAGGTCAGAGCACACAGGGAAGGTCAAGCAGGCCTTGTGGGCTGCACCCCATTTCTGGAGCCACTGGAGGTTTTAAGAAGAGGAAAAGATCAGTATTATCCCCATTTTTACAACTTGGGCAACACAGATGTACAGATGATGAATAATCTGCCTACAACTAGCAAGCAGCAGAGCTGGGATAGAACAGTCTGATTCCACGGCATGCCCTCTTGGTTGCTATGAAATTTCCTCCCAGACAATTTCTATGTCCATTTGGGGATGAGATTACTGAGAATTTTGGTGAGTGAACATTACTCATTTTATTTAAAATATGAATAAACTGATAAAGTGACTTCAAAGTCATAAAACTATTTTATTGAATGGCCTTTTTGCTATTATGATATAAAACTAGTTAAAAGTTAAAATAGGCAAGGAGGAAGAAATTTTATGGCAACGCCTAAATCTCTTTAGTTTTTCCCTTGAACATTTATTATAAAAGATTTCCAAAATACAGGAAAGTTGAAAGAATTTTACAATGAACACCTGTACAACCCACCAATTATCTCTGTAGTTTTAAATCCATATACTCCTCTTTACAGCTACTGAGACACTACAGAAGGAATGTGGGGAAAACATACTCTCATAAAAAAGATATCTTCGGCGGGCATGGTGGCTCACGCCTGTAATCCTAGCTCTCTGGGAGGCCGAGGTGGGTGGATCGCTCAAGGTCAGGAGTTCGAAACCAGCCTGAGCAAGAGCGAGATCCCGTCTCTACTAAAAATAGAAAGAAATTAATTGGCCAACTAAAAATATAAAAGAAAAAAAAGATATCTTCTCTCCAAGTGGACATAGAAAAGAAACTTCCCGAGTAATCTTTGTACCCACCTAGGATTTAGGATAGTGCCTTATTTTTTCGAGCGCTCAAAAAATAGTTGTGGAGTTGATTTTCAGTGCAATTAAAGGAAAAACTTTTGAGCTTTGGGGAGTAATAAGTTCCTCCCTACCTACTACCTGATGAAATTTTCAGTCATATGAAAATAAATGACCTAACAGTAATTTACACTGTATTATTCCAATATCCACCTTTTATAGGGAATATAAACCTCTTCATAAAAAGCAAAAAGAAGGAGGCAGCCTATCACTAAGTCAGAAGTCTGAGAATGCACTGAAGCCAATGTGTCCAAGAGGTGATAATTAAACCTGATGTAGTCAAAACCTTGTGTGTCTTACCATTTGGACACTACAGGGCTTTTACTATGTCCTACATAGATTACTTTCCTCTATACGGTTTCCTATCTTTAATCCCACTTTATCCAGACTCAATAATCATAAAAGCATGCTTTGGTTACTAGACTTCACATACCCACATTCAATAGATATGAGGCAAGAATCTAAACATAAAATATGAAATCAAGGAGGCAAAGTTTAATGAGGAACAGGGTATTTGGCTGCTCAAGTGTCTCCCCAGGGATTTCTTATTAGTTGCAAGGGGAAAAATAGTAATTATACTGTGGAAAAACCACACACCACCTTGACCAAGCGATCAATATTAACATCCTAGGGGCAAATGGCCACCTAGTCTCCAGATGCCATACCCTCGAGGAGGACAGCACTGGCTTTGGCCTGGGATGTAGAACCTGCATCTCCACGTGAAGAAGCATTACACACAGCCATTCTGAAAAAGTCTATGAAATGACTTGACATTTTGGAGAAGACAGGCCAATGTCATGAAAGACAAAGGCTGAGGAACATCAGATTTAAGGGGACTAAAGAGATAAAATCAACAAATGCCGTATCTATTCCTGAACTTTGTTTTTAATTTTTTTATTATTCACTCCTCCACTGGTTTCTCCTGGGATCTATCCCTGAACTTGATCCTGCTACAAAAGGGCACTATTGGGACTCCTGACAAAACTGGAATATGGACTGTGGTTTAGATAAAGGTATCATATCAATATTACATTTCCTTAATTTGATAACTGTACTGTGGTTACTTAAGAGAATATCCTTATTTTTAGGAAATACTTAAAGTATTAGAGGTAAAAGGACATGATATATGTCACTTATCAAGAAAGAGAAATAATATGTACCAAAAAAACACCGTGCATTTTTCCTAATCATTCACTGACACTTCTACTGTTTGGTTAGTTTAGCTAGGAGGAACAGTTTGTGCGAATTGTGCTACATCATCTTTCTGGATTTTTACCAGCTTTCCTAAAACTCTCACACAATCTCAAAGGATAATTCTGATTTTCTTGACATAAGCTCACTAGCTTCTAATTCCAACAAATAACCTATCTGGCTCTTATGATAGTTAACTGCTTAAATTATATGTGACTTTTTCTAAAAGCATTACATACCCTTTACAGAATTTCTGTGTACTAAGCCAATATGATGAATTCTTGGTTAGCAGTGACTGGCCTTTCTCCTTCAGGACTCCCTGGAGGCTGTGTCCATGGAAACAAGTTCTATCAGTGTCTTCTTCAGTCCAGTTGAACTGAAAACTTGAGGGGCGTTTTTTTTCAACAGTTGGTGTCCAATCAACCAGTGTGCTAAATTGTTTTTGTAGATTCACCACCATGTCTGGAAATAGAGGAAGAAAGGAAAGGAATAAGATAAAAACTAATGTTAAATCACAACTAAAGCCAATGTTGGTTTTGGCAAATGTACTATGATAATGTATGAGGATAAGGTTAGGGGAAATTAAAACTGGAGGAGGGGCATGGGGGAACTACTTTAAAATGGTTAAAATGGTAATTCTATGTCATGTATATTTTACCACTATCTATTTTTTTATTTTACTTATTTATTTTTAGAGACAAGGTCTCACTCTGTTTCCCAGGCTGGAGTACAGCGGTGCAATCATAGCTCACTACAGCCTCAAACTCCTTGCCTCAAGCAATCCTTTTGCCTCAGCCTCTCAAGTAGCAGGGACTATAACAGGTGCATACCACCACACCCAGCAAATGTTTCTTATTTTTTGTAGAGATGGAGTCTTGCTATGTTACCCAGGCTGGTTTTGAACTCCTGGCCTCAAGTGATCTTCCTGCCTCAGCCTCCTGCCTCAGCCTCCCAAAGTATTGGGATTACAGGTATGAGCCACTGTGTCTGGCCACAATTGGAAAAAAAAAAGAATGTACAATCTAACGGCAATTCTACTAAGAATTTTAAAAGTCACAGAAACATAGGGTTTGAGAATTTGGTAGGAACTTTAGTTCTGTTTTGAATAATGGCATGTTCCTGAAAGAGATTTCTATGGAGAGTTCTTAAACAGGATAATGCTCCTTTGGATGCATATGCACACTGAAACATTTGTTTAAAAAAGTAAAAACAAATTTATTTTATGAATTCACCTTTGAAGTCCAGATATGTAGCTTTTCTACAACTGTGTTGTTACTTCATATTAACAAGGGGAAATTCAACTCACCTCTTCTTTTATATACTACTGGTTTGTCGATGAATGAGTAGTAGAGTGGCTTTTCACTTTTCCACATGTACCTGTACAAGGCAGAAAGCAGTTGGAGCAGGATGGAGACGAAATGGACCTAAGTACATTTCAGAGAACAGTTCCTATGAAGCAATATCTGAGATTCCTGATATTCAGTGTAATAGTTCTGCCTCAGAAGGGCCTATTGGCACATGTCTACGTTGTCTCCTAAGCTTACGTCCTGGAAGGAAGCACTGAGTGAGAGAGCAGGCCAGCAGAATGGTGTGCTCCTTCTCAAAGCCTCCCAGATGCTGAGCGATCCTGGAGAAGCTATTAATAATACAAAAAGTGCAGCAATGGTTTGCCTCACCATAAATTTCCCCTGTTGCTCATTCTCATAAAGTACAGCCACCTAAGAAACAACTGTTCCTTCTTGCCTTGGCCCCAGCTGCCTTTTTGCTGAGGATTAAGTCATGGTACTTCTGATTCTGACAACTCATACACAGTGAACAGTAGGTGCCAGTCTCTCTGGCACTTGACACCAGGAAATCCACCCTGTTCCTTTTGCAAATGAGGAGGAAGGATCTGGATTCCATGATGACACAGTCCTAACAATCCCTGCACTGACTCAACCTATTCTTGTCTAGGGAAGGGCAGCTAGGGAGGTTCTGTAAAATGGAGATCCTGGATTGATATGGCCCTTGGGGTCCCCTTCAGGACAAAGACTAAGAATCATCTGGGTTCCTACAGGTCAGGGGTGACCAGTCTAGACTCAGGCCAAAGAGAAGTGACATGTCCTATTTCTGGTTATAGTGATCATTGCTAAACTTTGCCAGAAAGACACTGCTGCTATGGAACAAAGAAAACAATGTTCATTTTTAGACTTATTTTAATTACTTTTGAGTTCCCTAAAATAGAGGACTTTCATAATTTACAACAAAAAACGAATCTACCTTCTTCTTGATCCCAGGCCATTTTCTTGTTTTGACAGGCACTGTGGCAACAGGAAAGGGCACTGAATCAGAGGGCCTGGCTCTGCCATTTTCTAGTGGTATGATCTTGAGTGACAACTTATAGAAGTTCTCAAAGGCAAAGACTGTCTCAGTTGTCTTTATGCCCCTAGTGTTGGCAGGGAATGGTACATAGTAGGCACTCATTTAAACATTTGTTGAAGGGTGAATGGATGAATAAATGAACAAACAAATGAATTTAGCATCTCTAAACTTGTCTTCTACATTCACAGGAATGTTGTAAGGAACAATTAATATAATATACATACAGTTTCTTTAAATTTTATACAATAATCAGAAGTAATTATTATCTACTGCTTGACAAAGCACCTGCTTAATGGGTAATCAAGAAATATCTGTGAGCTTTCTAGAGAAGAATAGGAAGCCAGAAATATGGTTTTTATTTAAATCTATAGTATTCTTTAATTGATATTTTTTTCACCATTCTCCATTTTTATGCTAGGGAAGAAAAATGTATACAAAAATACACATTTTAGTAATATTATGATAGCAAATGATCATTTTAACCAACTTAAAAATTGATTTTTTTCTTCAAGAATTTAAAAATACTTGATCAAGGCAGTAAAAACATGGCTATACATAAAACAGATGTTAACTTTTTACTTTGAATTTCCAGTGATTTAAAATGTTAAGAACAGAAACAAAATTTTTCTAATCATCAGGGTACAGAGATGCAGCCAATGTTATATGGGAGACTGTCTTCCTGAAAACAAAATTTTAGTGAACCATACCACATTTAAAACATATTAGAGGGCTCATCATTTAACCCTATGGCAAGAGTCTGTGATTCTTTAAAATATCTTTTTTGTTATTTATTTTCTTAAGTAATAAATGTAACAAATCTCAAAAGATAAAGAAGTTCCCTAAACTCAATAGTCTAATCCCAACCCCTTGGTATACCCACTGTTAAACATTCCTTGTAAATACCTAGTCCAGACAGCAGTTTCTTATGCATTTACACAGGTGGCAATCATGCTATAATCAAGGAGGCATTATTACTTCCTTGGAGTCACATGCCCACAGAATGGGAAAGGTGATCTAAAATAAAAACGCTGGGAGGCCGAGGTGGGAGGATTGCTTGAGCTCAGGAGTTCGAGACCAGCCTGAGCAAGAATGAGACCCCCATCTCTACTATAAATGGAAAGAAATTAGCTAAACAACTAAAAATAGAAAAAAAAATTAGCCAGGCATGGTAGTGCATGCCTGTAGTCCCAGCTACTCAGGAGGCTGAGGCAGGAGGATGCCTTGAGCCCAGGAGTTTGAGGTTGCTGTGAGCTAGGCTGATGCCATGGCACTCACTCACTTTAGCCTGGACAACAAAGTGAAACTGTCTCAAAAAAAAAAAAAAAAACAAAAAAAACAATACAACCTCTATGGAAAACAGTATGAAGATTCCTCAAAGAACTAAAAGTAGACTATGATTGGATCCAGTAATCTCACTACTGGGTATCTTCTCAAAGGAAAAGAAGTCATTACATAGAAAAGCAAAAATGTACTCATATGTTTAATGCAGCACAATTCACATGGAACCAACCTAAGTGCCCATCAACTGATGAGTGGATAAAGAAAATGTACTGGGTACACACACACACACACACACACACATTGGAATACTACTTAGCCACAAAGAAGAATGAAATCATGTCCTTCATATTAACTTGGATAGAACCGGAAGTCATTATCTTAAGTGAACTATTTCAGGAATAGAAAAACAAATACCACATGTACTCACGTATAAGTGGGACCTAAGCAATGGGTATAAATGGTCATACAGAGTGTGGTATAACAGACTTTGGAGACTCAGAAGGAAAGAGGGTAAAAGGTGGGTAAGGGATCAAAAAATACCCTATTGGGTACAACGTATACTATTTGGGTGATGGGTACACTAAAAGCCCTGATTCCACCACTATGCAATTTATCCATGTATCAAAACACTACTACTACTTGTACTCCCTAAATCTACTGAAATTAAGAGTCTCATGCTCTACCGACTAAGCTAGCTGGGCCACCAATCTACTGAAATTAAAAAAAAAAAAATTTCTTCCATGTACTTCTCAACATTGTCTATGACAACTAGAAGTCATCGAAGCAGCCTCTTAAGCTATTTTTAGGTTTTCAACTACCATTTATTAGTGTTTTTCCTAATCTCATGCATAGAGACCCATGCTTAACTACAGAAAATGTTTTAATAATTTTTATCTGACAACATGAATGGTGATATTCAGAGGAACAGAGAGAAAAATTAGAAATTTATGGGGTTCAGGTAGAGTGAAATAGACAGGTGATCATCATGCATAGGGGCTTTGTGCCCAAGCATTAGTAGTGATTTACATTGCATATGGGTTATTAGCCCACAGCATATACTCTAGGAAGTAGATCTTCATAAAGAATTCTCTGAACCACCTCCTCCTTGAGGCCTGGTACCTCCCTGGAAAATGCCATTGTATAACTCGACCTACTTTCTTTCTAAGAGACAGGGTCTTGCTCTGTTGCCTAGGCTGGAATGCAGTGGCCCAATCATAGCTCAGTGCAGCCTTGCACTCCTGGGCTTAAGTGATCCTCTTGCCTCAGACTTCTGAGTAGGTAGGACTATAGGCATGTGCCCCCCTGCCCAGCTAATTTTTAAATTTTTTGTAGAGATGGGTCTCACTATGTTGCCCAGGCTGGTCTGGAACTCCTGGCCTCAAGCAATCCTCCTGCCTTGGCCTCCCAAAGAGCTGGGATTACAGGTGTGAGCTACTGTGTCTGGTACTAAACTTACTTTCTTTGGTCACTAAAATGTCCCCTTAAATAGCTAAAAGTCAGTAAATTCTAGATATGCAACTGATTATACCACCACAATATGAATTGGGCCTCCAACAGCTGTGTTTAAAGTAGAAGTTGGTGCCTGGTTTGGGCTAAGGAAAGCCTTGTCACCAATGAGACACCTGGGTAGCATGGCCCCTGAACACCCGGCCCTCAGGATCAGTTAGGACTAAGCCTGGCCAGCACCATAAATAGAAAGACTGATTCTTTAAGAATCAGTCTAATCAGACCTAAGACGACAGAACAAACTCTTGTTCTTACTACTATCCTTGTGCCATTGAGACCCACTGACTGAAGAGCCATTCTTTCCTCTGGTGAGGAAGAGGAAGGATCAGTTTCCTGGGACTCCATAGCTGTCGGAATAAATTCACCTCCACTCCTTTATTACTGTCCATCAAATCTGACCTGTGAAAACCTGTCTCTCCTCCCACTTTGGCAGGGATCCTCTTCTCCACAGTGCTTTATCTCAGCCCAAGAGTCTGTTTCCCTACTGAAAAGCCCTCTGAAATTTAGAGGAAAAATAATCTAATTCTACCTCTGAACCTCTGGATCTTAATTACAGTACATAAGTAGGCAGTATCTCTATTTTAGAGATGAGCAAACTGGAACTAAACAAATTATTCATTTCAACCAATTTGAGGAACCTTGATTTTTCTCTAAGGATATAAAATTACTTGATCATATTAGTATTATTGTTAATTTACATAAAATACAAAGATGTTAACTTTTTCTTTAAAGTCTCACAGAGACTGAAAGACTCACCAAGAGAATAAGGAACTCCCCATGGTCACATGGCTAATTTGTAATGCAGTCAGGATTCAAACCTAGCACTGTCCATCGCTAAAGCTATGCTCTTTCCACTCTACCGCAATGAATCCATATCAGAATGACAGTTCAAAGAAAGTCAGTGATACTCATTGCATTAAATGTACTTGCTGTCTGCTTTCCTTTGTTTCAATTTTCATAGAGATTTTTATTTTGGAGGAATATTCCAATTACATATGTCACAGAGTGACATTTGTAATCTTTTTAATATTGGGAAGCATAGATGGGAAATGACCAAATTTGAGAAAGAGAAGAGGGAGGAGTATTAGAAATGCAGGTGAGACTCATGCAAATTATAAGAAGTTAATTGCTAAGTACATTGTGGTACCCTGGATGGATTCTGGAATACAAAGAGGAAATTAATGGAAATACTGGTGAAACCCAAATTAAATCTAGTGTTTAGTTAATCGTAATATAAAAAAGAAAAAGTTAATTACAATGTAGGGCTAATATTTCTAGAAAAAATGTCACAAAACTGATGAATCTAAACTGTTGAAACTTCAGTTTTCAAATATATGCAACAGACACAGAAATAAAGTAGGTGAATCTAAAACCAGTGGAGATAACATACTTTGCCCTTGCTTCCTCCCATTTATGTTTTTTCTCATCAACGGTTTTCTTCATAACTTGGTACCACTTTCTGAAATCAAACCATGGCTTATCTGAAAGAAATAAAATCTAGCATTATTAACCAAATAAATTGCATTATAATAATATACGTTGTTCATCTGAGTCTTCATTCAATGACAGCTAAACACGTAACCACTTCGGTACCAGCATCGACTATAGTCGACAGCCACAGATGAACACACACAGCGACTTTAGCCGATAGCCGTGATATGACTTTTCTAATTTTTCATTTATCAAAATAAAATCGTGAACATTTAAAAATAACGTAATGTAAACATATATGTTACCTATTCTGATTTACATTACAAATAAAGCTGCCTGTAAAGTAAAACAAGCTTTCAGTGCTTTAAAGCTTTCCTCATCACACAAGAGCAAAACGGATTCGTTGTCAATGCACAGCACAGACTATCATGCGGACTATGAGTGCCGGCTGTGGGCAAGGTTTTGTGGCTGGTGAACACAGTACCGAAGTGGTGAAATAGGAGCTCTTAGAAATTATAGATAAAGTCATTGTCTCCATACTCTAATATGACTCTCCTGAGCAATCTGTCACTCTCCCCTCTAAGTTCCTACCTATATTGTGACTCCAACTAGATTATGCTGAAATCATCTTTTTACCTGTTTCTCCTAAACTTGACTATTACCTCCTTGAGAACAGAACATATATTTTGTTTGCCCCCTCTTCCCCCCAAACCCAACACCCAGCAGTGTCTGGCACATGGTGGTGCTCCAACATGGCAAATACATGAATTATGGAAAAAATGATTGATAAATGTGTGAAATGGTATTATAGTAGCTGAATCTAGACTTCCAGTTTCATCAACTCCTTTTCCTGTTCTTCCTAATTATTCAAAGAATCTAGAGATAAGTAAGAAAGTAGATTGCATTGGATAGTTGGTGTGAGTGTGTGTTTAAGATGTAGAGGTCAGAGAGACAGCAGAATTGAATGCAGTCAAGTATATAAATTCACTCCTCACTCTTATTCTATCCATATGGGGATCGCTCTCCATTATTCTCCAATGAAAAGAATCTCTTTCAATGTCTAATTAAAAATATTTTCAACTGGCCAATATAATCATCATCTAATCCAATATGACACTGTAGGCCATAAAGCCTTGAAAAAAGGAAACTACCAAAATTATAGAGAGGAAAACTATAACAATTAATAGGACTCAAGGTTCTTTGATCTTAAGTCACAATTTCTCTAAATCACAATCTCCTCATCAATAATGTGGGGAGGCAGGGGACGGTAGTCAGCATGGCAGCAGTGAGAATGAGGACAACAATCCTGCCCTGCTGAAAGCAAAGATTTGAGGTTTGTAAGGGAGAGAGGTCAAAGCGCTCTATTTTATACATCTACATAGTCTACTATCACCTTTCAATATCAGAAAGGACATTGGAAGACAGCTAGTTCAACCTTTCACTCTATGTAGAAGCCAACATAAGCAATGTATGGAAAGACGTATTTTATATATATTCTGGAAAGAACACACAAACCACCATTTAAACTGATTATCCCCATTAAACTCAAGCTCCCAAAACCAATGAATGTAAATTCTAGTGAGAACATTAAGAAATTAGAATCGAATTTAAGAGTTCACATATTCCACTACACTTCACTGGGAGTTGCTCTTAGGCCAGTCGCTATGTTAGGCACTAAAGATACATTTTTTAAAATAAGGAAGATAGTCCTCCTCTGGAAGCTCACAATCTACCTATTTGTCTATCACTTACAATACACTTATTATATGCCAGATATTCTTCTAAGCACTTTACAAATATTGGTAATCTAATAGAGACAGATATACTTAGGTCATTAGTTATAATTCAATGTATTAAATATCTAGTATAAGTTTGGACAGGAATAATTGGTTCTGATTTGGTAAGACATGAAGTGGTATGAAGTGGTGTGTAGAACAGGTAAAAGAATGGTATTTATGCTGCATCAGCTTGAAGAATGAAGAGGGATTTGCTAGGGACTGAAGGGGAGCTACAGGGTAAGGAGGAAAGAACATTCCAGACAGATGGAACAGAAAGAGCAAAAGGTGAAGGCATCAGAATAGACATGATGGTCAGAAAGCAGCCAGTAAGTTCAGAGTCTAGCATGGCTGGTGAGTTTAAGTTGGGAATAAAAAGCAGACTGGTCTTACACATAGAGGAAGTCATTGACTTTTTTAGTAGCCTAGAGATATAATTAGATAATTATATGAAAAAATCATCCTGGTACAAGGTACAATTTGTATATATGTGTATGTATACATATACACATCTATTTTTCAAAGCTTTCTTCTTACATTTATTGCATATTTTAATCTATTAGTTATAATTACTTTGAATTTGACTGATAAAAAAATTAAGTACCTTTTTTGTTCTTTTTATTATATTTTTCAGCAAGATTAGACAAAGACCTGTATATAACAAAAAATATCAATTCAGAAATCACATATTTGGACAGTTAATTTTGAATTCTTCTGAGAGACAAGTATAGAACAGTAACTGATGCCAAATTTTAATGGCAAAGCAACCACCGAAACAGGAACACTCTAAACACGGTCATTCTTTGCTGGCATTTGGGAGGAGGAAGATCACTTTACTTTGTAAAAAAATCTTTGAGAGATATTAATACATAGTGCCAGAAGCATAAAGGCATAATGATAAAGTGCTGAATGATTCTTTAGGATTTATGATGATACTTTAAAACTCAGAAATCAGTGGAGTAACGACAAACATTGCTACTAAAGAACAATAGGAATAAAACATGATCAAACAACTGACAAACAGCTGAGTCAAGTATCATGTAAGAAGTAATTGTCACTACTAGTCAATGTTCTATAACAACTGACAGTCTCCATTTTCTATTGAGATAACATGAATTCCTTTACTCTCAATAATTAGGTAAAAGGAATTCAATTTTTTTCCTTAGCTTCTTTAAAAAACTAAGATTAGCACAATAAAATGTTCTTGTCATAATATTAATATATACTTACCATTCAAAATTGTCATCCAATAAAAACAGCAGTTTCAATACTACTACAATGATAGCTACAGCTTGCACATCATATTTAACAGTTTTTGCCATTTTAGCTATGGGATCAAATGTCAGAAAATCCACTTCTCCTATTCCAGTCATTTTTATCACTTGGCAGGCTAAACCGTGCATTTCATCTGTTGAAGAACAAAACAGTTGAATGTGAATTAAATTCTTTGGCTAACTAGACCATACTAATGTGTAATAACCCACAAGATAACCTTTATCTTAAAACATGATACTATGCTGGAACCTGGAGACATACATTTTGTGACTAAAATAAACCAAAAAATGATATCTGTATAGAAAAACTAATGACAGAATCTTGGCAAGGCACATTGTTTCCTATTCTGACTTCCTAAAACATCTACTATTTGTAGACACATCCTGGAACCTTATGTAGACAGCTATACATCAGTGTTCTGTTGTTTTATCCATGTCTCATCGATGTTTCTACAGCAGTGTGTGCTTACCTGAAAATAATTCCCTTGAAAGACCAAAAACCTTCTCTAGGAATGTGCATGTACTGGCTGGCACCCTGGCTAGCATAAGCCTTCAACATGTGCTTAACTAGATACACCACTTTCCTAAAGAAATTACATGCTCAGCATAGACTGCATCTATTATTTAAGGCTGAATAATGTGGGAGTAGGAACCAGGAAACCTAAGACCTATATTTAGGCTTTCTAATCATTAGATTTGTGCTTCTGGATTACAGTCATCCTCAGTTTCTTCACTTATAAAATGGGTTACAATGAGAATAAACTGAGATTAAGTAAAATGGTACAAGTGAAAACTCTAAATTACTAAACAAATTTCTATACTCCCTAATCTAAGTATCCAATATATACCATATCTTATTCTAATTAATTTCAAGTATGAGAACCATTATTTATAAGAGCATAATGAACTTGCATGGAATTGAACGGAATCTCCTACATCCGTTCAGTCATCATGTCCTATTGATTCCACTCCCTTAATGTAGCATATAATAACATGGTTAAGAGTAGACTATGGAACTAACTGCCTGGAGTGAAGTTCCTGCTCCATAACTCATTAGCTCTGTGACCTTGGACAAGTTACATGATCTGTCTGTGCCTCAGTTTTTAAAATAATCTGCATAAAAAGGAATAAAATAGTGCCTACTTCTTAGTTATTGTGAAGACTGAATGAATATACCTAAAGCACTTAGATCATTGCTGACTGCTCTCAAATCCATCCCCTTTTCTCTCTCCACTGTTGCTCCTTAGTTTACCCTCAAACTAGGTGTCTCTTGCTCTGGTCTTACCCTGCTGTGGTCCAATCATCTCGTTCCCCTGCTTTCATGAATGCATTAAAACTTTTAGCTCCCAGTCTGCGTAAGTTCTCTATAGTTCCCCAAACAAGCCATATTCTCACTTGCTTCTCTGCTTTGCACAAGTAATTTTGGCCTTTTGCCTAGAGAGTCAATTCCTTTTCCCCATTCCTCATTGCAAGCTTTGCTGGGCTGATTATCACTCAGCTTACAGAGCCTAGCTATACTAATCACTTCTGAGAATGCTTGTATAATACCAGCAGACTTCTTTGACCAGCCCTCTTCTGAATGCTAAGGCATCTCTTCTGGCATTCACCCCTTTCCTGAATGAAGTTAAGGGTTTACTTCTTTGTCTTCCTCTTAAATTTGAGAGTGACTCAATCTTCCTAACTGTGGCAGCCTATGTATAATTGATACTAATTACATGTTTATGGTAAAGAATGAATAAAATACAAAACTAATTTCTTTCTTGAAATGTTTAAGTAAAAATTTTTCACTGATTAAAAATGCTTTGTTGGCCAGGCGCAGTGACTCACACCTGTAATCCTAGCACTCTGGGAGGCTGAGGTGGGAGGACTGCTTGAGCTTGGGAGTTTGAGACCAGCCTGAGTAAGAGTAAGACTGTCTCTACTAAAAAAACAGAAAAATTATCCAGGCATCCTGATATGCACCTGTAGTCCCAGCTACTTGGGATGCCGAGGCAGGAGGATCACTTGAGCCCAGAAGTTTAAGATTGCAGTGAACTATGATGATGCCACTGCACTCTACCCAGGGCAACAGAGTGAGACTGTCTCGGAAAAAGAAAAAAGAAGCTATGTTCACACAGAAATAGAAAATATATACCAATGATAATTCAAAATATGGCATCAAATTATTTTTATATGTCTAATATTATACATTCTAATAATTTAGCTAAAGTTTTCGCTGGGCTTTTACTCATTCTTTTCAACATTTATTGAGCAATTAGTAAGTTCTGGGTACCTGAAGATAAAGATATAATCCTTTCCCTCAGGGTAGTGTTTAGTGACAGGTAAATATTTAAAATGCAATCTAGTAAGGAAAATGACAATGATGAGATGGTGCTTTGGGGAAACACAAGTAGTCCAACAAGTCTTTAGTGCTGAAGTGTAAAGAGGTTGGCAGTGCCAGATCATGAAGATCTTTGTATGATAGAGAATTTGGACATATTATTAAGATAATTTCAATTTACAAATTCCCCCTGAATTTACTCCTGTCAATTCCACAAACATTTACTGAGTGCCTACTATGTATAAAACACTGTGCTAGAATGGAGGAAAAAAGAAAAATGAGTAATAGGATTCTAACACTTAAACACATATCCTTAAAACATGGAAAAATTAATTTTAAAATACATTCCCTTCTGAGAAATATATCAGTATAAAAAATAAATAAAATACACTCACTAAAATTTTATCTATTATCTATATTGGGTATAAGAAGCTGTTCTCAGATAACTTAAAATTCAAAACCATATTAGTACTATTTTATAAAGAATGCTATTTCTTATCAGTTCTTTTACCACTGTTTGTTGGGGTTCAGGTTTTCAGTTTCTTTCTTAGCTATAGAGTTCTTTCCAGCTTTCCCTGTCATTCTGCTGGAACCCAAAGATCCAGGAGGAGCTTATAGCTGTGACTAGACTGCGATGGACCCATCAGAAATGCCTGACCCAACCTTGATACCAGAGTCTTCACAAATGCTCACTGAAGAAAATTCCCAAGACAATTCAGAGTCCCCTCATAACTTGTCCGAAACTTTGATAAAGAACCTTAGTAAATTTACTCTCAACGCAGGCACCAATTTCCCTTCCCTTCTACCAGAAGATTTACCCCAACAAGAGGCTAGAAGAGAAAGCATCTCCCAGGATATCAGAGATGGCTCGCCTTACAGGAGAAGAGGAGTAAGGACACTGTTACCTGAGCAGAAAGAAAGGCTGGCAAGATTGAGATATCTTTTATCAACAGATTTTCTTGGCTTGAAAGATAACTAGCAGACACTGAACTTAAAGGAATTCAGAGTGAATCAAGAAGTGAACCACTCAAATGTAGGTGCAGTTTCTGTGTGTATCACAGATGAGATCCTTCTAAAAATGCTAGAATAGGGAATTATGACAATGAGCCAATTTCACCATAAACCTTATACTTATGCTTTTGTTTTTGCTGGTAATTTTACGCAAGTTGAGAAAGCTACTCTTTGTTGGGACAGACTGTAATAGCAATAATTTTGATATCCTATGATGAGTTCTATGATATCTTTTTCTTGTATCTTTTCCCTATTATTTTTATACCAGTAATTTATAAGGGATCTGTGTAGTTTGAATGTATCTGAGTAACTTCAGTGTACTTTAGCTCTACTTTTTGATCTCACCCAAAGAATCCTCAATAGGTCTGAAGTATTCCCATGTGTTCTAGAAACCTAAAGTCAATGAGATAAAACAACAGCATCAAGAATTTGCGGCAAAGTAACTTGTAGGAGAAGAATGTGAAGGAAACACTGGGGAGTTTGGCTAGATTAGATTAGATGGATTAGATTTGATTAGATTTTCTGGTTTTCAAAAAGAATTGCAATGAAAGGAAATTCTGATGTGCTGTATTTTTACTTTGTAGTAGCAAATAAATATGTGTGTAAACAATAAAATTGACAGTTGAGTACCTTTTTTTAAAAAAGAATATTTCTTGAAATAGTTCCTTTCTTTTAAAATTAATATCTTCAACTGCTCCTCTTATACCAAAAGTACAGAGTAATAAAAAGGCAAGTGGAAGAAATTATAAGAAAGGTGGCAAAGACACTGTAGGGTTCTGAAAGGCGGCATAATGTGGAAAGACACAGGACTCAGAATGGGAAGACTGGGCTGTAAGAATATACTCTGCCACCTGCCAGCTGGTGCCACTGAACCTCCCTAATAAGTCTCATGGATCAATGGAAACCCCACTTGCTCTTCCCACTTTCACAAAGGAGAGAAGACACCTAGGGGCACTTTGGAAACTCCAAAGGTCTCTAGAAATTACATTAATGATAGTGAAAGCCATTAGAAACTCTACCCAGCAGGCTCGTCAGCAGCTATGGGAGGATCCATACTAGAGAGGACAACTGAGTCATTCACAGCCATCACAAGGGCAGTGCTTATTCAGGCAGAGTATGTGTGACATACTTGCTGAAACCTCCCCTCCAAGCCCCAGAGGCTACAGGGTCACCTTTAAAGGTCCTGAGGAGGGGCATTTGTTGCCCCAGCATACTTAAAATTAAAACCACTTTTAGCTTTCTGGGAACCTTAAAACCTCTCTTTGTAAAAGTACCATATACATAGCCCTCTTCTTTTTGATCAATGGCACCATAAGAGGGATGGCACTGTCAAAAGCAATATTTAATAAATTTTGAAAATGGCACATCCTGGAAATCCTTACAATCTTACAGATAAGTAGTTTGCAAATCAACTTCAGACATTTTAGAATCTAAATCCTAAGGCACAGAGACTATCACATCTTAATTTGTAGATCTATTTTGTTAAAAAAATAGTTTATTGCTTTCCCCCCCACTAGTAACACAAACTTGACATGGGACATAAAAGTAGAAAGAAGAAAGAAAACAATATGCATTATCATAACTTAGAAATAGTCACTTTAATATTTTGGGGTATTTACTTCTAATATTTTTATAAACATTTTCATTTTATGTAGCTATGGTCATGTTATATATAATTCTGTAATTTGGGTTGTTTCATTTTTTATTATAATATACAACATTTTCCATGCTTTCATGAATTCTTCATAAACATTATTTTAAAAGCTACATAATGTTCTACTGAATATACACAACACTGTTTACATAATCCTTACCTTTTTGTTGGGTATTTAAGTTGTTTCTGATCTTCTATATTATAAATACAATGATCAATATTTATGTACAATATTTTTCTATATTTTAAATGATTTCTATTGAACAGATTGAGAGAAATAAAATTTATCTACCCTGATTCTTTATAATACACCTCCAAAAAGTCACTTAATAAATATCAAATGACAATAATGTCTCTCTGCATATTATAATGGATTTAATTCTACTTGTTACTCTCAGAAAATGTAAGGCAAAAAATATTGTTAAACTGTATACATTGGCCGGAAAATATCATTTCCTTCTCTTTCTCCAATAATGAATACATGAGATAGATGTTTGCTATTAATCAGACTAGATCAGTTATATTTTGATAATCCTTGGTATTCCTTCCATAACCTAGTATTTTTTATATAAATTGAAGATTTTAGAATTATAACAGAATACAGGAAATTTCTATACTTGAGAGAACTATCAAAGAGGGTGGAAAAAAGAAATCCAAAACAGTAATTCTGATCTATACAACACATCAAAATGTAGAAATGAGATCTTCCAAATCATGAAATCTTAAATAGTTAATGACTTCTGAAAATCTGAACAAGAGACATATATTCCTTAGCTTTATAAATGATACAATTGAAAAGTTTATTTTGTTCCTGTTTTTAAAAATATTTTAAAATTATAGATAATATTTATATTTGTATATATGTTACTACATATTTATATTTATTTTTATAGTTAAGGTACATATAATTTTGTATATTGCTTTTTTCATACAATATATGTATTTTCTTGTCCTATTAAAATATGTTGAATCCCATTTTTGATATTGCTTATGCAATGGTACAGTCACACCATGTTTGTATTTTCTCTTAGGAGTATAAGTCCTAAATTTCTCACATTTCTAGTTTAGCAAGAAATTCAGGACTGGATTCCATCAGCAGATTCCATTGGGGTGACCTGTGTCTCAGTATACTGTGAACCAGGTATAGTGAGGCTCTTTTTACATTCTGTATATTGCCTTTAAGACTTCACTACGATCTGACCAGACTTCCATCTCCATTTGTTTTAGAGATTGGAAATAGCATATGTAACCAAACAATAAAAACAATACCTACCACAAATTAGCTTCTGGAATTTTTTAAAAATTAGAATTCATTATGTAATAATAATGCTTCATGCAAACAAATAAGTGCTGGGTTTTTTTTGAGGGGGGAGACTAGGTCATTAATAAGACATATTGAAACATTTGTTACTTTACTTTCGCTTAGCAAACTTAAGATAAAAACCAGATATATTCTCTCAAGCATAAATCCCTCACACCAAAATAGAACTCTATTTCCGAACAGTGTCCCTTTAACCATTTTAAATGGTCTCAATTATTTTAAGAAAAGATTTTGAAATTATGCTTCTTGTTATTAATTATAGATTCTTTGAAGTGGTTCTAATAGTCTGGGATTTGAAAGAATTCTATATTTTGTTTATTATAATTCTATTAGTTAAAGCTTCTTCACCATATATACCACACACTTACCAGGGAGATTGACTTCCATTAAGTATTTCATACACAAGATGTTGGGATGAAGATAGCAGTCTTCAGTTATGTCTGGAAAATGAGGCAAATCTAAAAATGTGGCAATTTCAATTGTTTTTTTATGGATATCTTCATAGTCAGGCCAAGACTGTAATAAAAGAGAGATCACAGTAGCAAATTTTGCAACATAAATTATTTTTAAAAATATTTTCTGATTTAAAAATATGCATTCATTTAATAAAATTTGGAATGTGGAGAAATGTAAGAAAGACCCATAAATCCTTAATATTCTAACTTAGCAATTTTAAAGAGTAATAATACTAAATTAAAAAGGCACTAAATTCATTCTGTCCAGCACTTTAGCGTACAACTAAACTACACTTTCTTGTAGTTTTTTGTGTATGCTATTTGCATTTTTGTGATTTATGAACATTCCTAATATTAATACTACATATAATTTTTCCTCATTTGCTAATCCACTCACATATAAATATTAAGTTCACAGCCTATTCTATACAAGATACTTTGGGAAATATGAAGATAAATAAGACAATCTGTAATAAAGAACACAGTAAATTCTGTCAATCCAAAGTAGCAATGTGCCCTTTGAAGTCCTTTTTTAATGTTGAGATAGAGTAATGCTACTTGTATACTAAAATATTATTAATTGTATTCTAATCTGTGAATTTAAAAGAGAAGGAAAACATAAGTTGTCAGTGATATTTGGAAGGAAGATATCTTCCTTTTCATTTATGAAATTAATTCATTTAGACCTCAGCTTCATTCTGCACAGAATTTGAAGTGTCTTTTCAAGTTAAGACAATTTTAACATTACTGACAAGATTTATGGCAGTCCTAATCCTTTTATTAAAAAATAATTCAGGTAAGAGATGCAATTAAGTATTTTTATCTGCAAACAAAGCAGAACACTAGAGAAGGAATGTTCCCCTTAGAAAAACAATCATCTCTACAACTCTGCTTATTATGGGTAAAAAAAAAAAGAAAACAATCATCTCAAAAAAAATGATTTAATAGATGATAAATTCACGACAAGCAAGCATACGTCATTAACGAAAAGCAATTTGGTAGGCTAATAGGATTTAGTATATTTCCCAAACTTCCACACTAAAAGCTGGTACAGCAAACTCTACATCTGGTGACAAATAGGTCACCGTCGCAAGAGCGAGACCCTGTCTCTACTAAAAATAGAAAGAAATTAATTGGCCAACCAAAAATATATAGAAAAAATTAGCCAGGCATGGTGGTACATGCCTGTAGTCCCAGCTACTTGGGAGGCTGAGGCAGGAGGATTGCTTGAGCCCAGGAGTTTGAGGTTGCTGTGAGCTAGACTGATCCCATGGCACTCTAGCCAGGCAACAAAGTGAGACCCTGTCTCAAAAAAAAAAAAAAAAAAAACAAGTATAAAAAGGAACCTAAGTAATATCTGTCTAAAGGAAAGAAAACAACAACATATTAGAGAGGTCAGAATTAGAAGTATAATAAAGGTAAAGATTTTAAAAATTCAGCATATATAAAAATCTACATTCAAAATCTATACTACTTACTAATATCTACCCTAATCTTATATAAAAATCTCTTAGCAATAGAAACATACTTTTAGGTGGAAAAAGATGGAGTTTCTAAATTGTAACTATTAAAAACATAACACCAAGACATGGGTCTGCCTATACCAGAAGACAAAATATATTGAGCAAAAAGAAAATATAATATCTGCAGAATCTCTTGCTCTGCCAAAAAAATTCCTTGATTACTATTTAATGATTCTAGTATAAGATTGAAAGGGATCTTTCCTTTAGTGCCTCAAATGAGGGAAAAGAGTTACAACTACACATCACCACTGCAAATGTTTCTGTCTCAGAGGATGTCATTAAAGGCATCAGAATGCTACCTCCCACCACGAACATCACATGAGGTGGTGGCCCAATTGTACCTACAGGGCTTAGCTATGGACAACCTTCCCTACACGTTTGCTCCCAGTTCAACTGAGCCGGGCCAGTTTGGGGTCTTGGACTGCTAACTTAGCAAAGTATCAAACCTCTGGCAGAAGGGCTGGGAGTGTTGTTATTTAGCATGGTTTTAGTATCTCTGTCCCATTGTCCTTAGCCCAGAAAGAGGAGTTAGTCTCTGACAAGATTCTAAAACATGGAATGATCGTGTAATAATTATAGTAAACATGCAGTGACTGTGTTAGAATAGTCTTATTCTGACTTTTAGAAAAGGCATCTTTTCTAAAAGATGTCTTTAGAAGTTTCTAGGTATTTGTACCATATTTTCACTAGGCATGTGGAATTTGCTGTATTAGGTAGAATAAGAGGTCTACCAGAATGCTGTCTAAAACTTTCCATATTTAGTAATGTGTAATAGCATTTTGTTTTATATTGACCCTTTGGTTACCTGCTAGTTAATCTAATTCTATCTACCTCAATCTTTTGTGCAACAAGGTGGAATAACGATGACAAAAAAGACACAAGGAGAGAGACACAACTCCTCTGCACCGCTCAAAGCACCATCTCCATCAGAATCACCTGCAAGATACTTACAAAAAACACATCTTCTTAGGTCCCACACTCCATTTACTGAATCAATCTCTGACACTGGGTCTAGGAACCTGTAGTTTAAACAAGCTCTTCAGGATATTCGTAGGCATACTAAAGCTTGAGAGCCTCTAGAAACTAATGAAATATCTGCAGATCCCTAGAGACCAGAATATGCCACTTGTAGGAAGCAAAAAATAAAATGTAATGGTTTCCCATCCTCATTTTTCTTGCAAACTGGACAAACCCTCAGATTGTGTTACTCCACAAACTTGAAAAGAGAAGTGCACACACACTTTCCAGTGACGGCTAAGATGAAGTGGGAGGCCAGAAACAAAGGACGACATTAGCCAGCTTCTCCTCGTGCTTGTCTGGCAGTAGTAATTCGGGGAGGGAAGAGTGGGAATCAAGGAAACTGAGAATACCTGTTGTTATTACGCTCACCTTAATTTCCCTCAGGTAGATTTTAAACCTGTCATATTATTATTCTAACAAAGTTTGCACAAACAATCCCAAGGGCTACAAGTGGCCTACAGACTTAGATGGTGAACAAATCTAGAGTAAAGTTTGAAGATTGAGTGTATTAAAACTTGATCCAATAAAGCCTTCATTTTGAGGTACTTAAGAAGTGACTGACAGCTCTGGAGGAGTATTTTTCTTCCTTCAACCATAAGGGACCTAGTTTCACAAGGGATGTAAGATTGCCCTAAGGCAAAATGAATCATCATGGCAGAGTGCCACTCAGTGGGTTTGGCTGAACCAGTATTACATCTTTTTTTTTTTTTTTTATTCATTCAGAGAGAAGATCAGAATGTTGTTGATCAACATTCAAAATACTGGAGATGTACTTCAGAATGAATTTCCAATTTCCTCTTCATCCCTCCTTGCTGAGTCCAGCAAGGATGATGAAATGACTAATTCTTAAGAGGATTTAGAAACACTACCTAAGACCATGGTAGAATAACAAGTATGTTACATATTCTCTATTTAGAAACTGGTCTGTGGGCTTAAAATATATAAAGAAAATCAAGGTTGAAAATACAGAAGTATTCCTACTTTCTGTAAGTCATTGACAGAATAAATTGTACCTAAAAGGGACAAGTATGTCTAGACCCAATAGTTGAGTTCAACCAATGATCTGATTATTTGGTATGCTATGAAGAAATGGTGCCCCTGAAAAAGACTAGATTTTCAGTTTACTCTACCAGATGAAATGAAAGATTTTTGTGAGAATAGTGCTTCAAATCAGCACCATACTCCAGAAACTTGAGTCAAAAATAAAGTAGCAGAAGAGGCAGAGTAAAAAAAAAGGGAGAAGGTTATCTTCAAATTAAAAAAGTAAATAAATAAAATGAAAAGGCTATCTACCTGGGATTGAGAATCACAACTCAGAAAAAGAAGGTGACTGGAAATACTAAAACTTAAATTTGCATACCCAGCTCATCTCCTGAGCTTTTGCTCTTAAGTCAGGGTAATGGTAGGAAGACTCAAAGTCTCACAGCTTGCTTGGAAAAAGAAAACAAACCACTATCAATACTCTGTATTCTTTATTCCATTCCTCTATGTTTTAAGTGAGCTTTGTCAGATATGCTGTTATTAAGACAGAGAGGCCCACTTAAATACTAACAGAACCACTTAATGAAAAGAAACAGCTCATCTAGGATAAAGGTTTGAGCAGGGTTTTTAAAGGTTTTTGTTTTTTTTTCTTTTTGGTTTTTAAGGTACACTCAACTTTCTGGAATAACAAAACCAAACCAAACCAAACACAGAAGGAAAACAGTCCCCAGCAGCCCCCACACACAACTCCAATGGCATTATCTTCATCGCCATCTCCTAGCACAATTGCACCTTTTGTCATTTCTAGTGGAGGTACAGCTGCTGAAGAAGCCAAGACTTAGTGGAGAAAGCTAAGACATGGAAGGGGGGAAGAAAATGCTTCCTTTGTTAATGAAAATCCATTTCCATTTAAAAGTTTCAACATAACTATAGAATAGTGAATGCACTTTTGTGAGCAAAGGCAAAGCACACAATGAAGAAAAGCTGCCTGTTAATTAAATAAACAGTCATTTGAAGGCATCCCAAACCTTCCCCTTTTTCTTGAAAAAAGTGGAGGAGGGAAGGAGTGTGGACTTTTACTACACTTGGCTGAAGATGTGTGTATAAAAGGTATAAGACAACACATAGGGCTCCTAGAGTGATACAGATCCATTTAATTACAACAGTAAAAAATCATAAGTTTAATATGTTTTTTAAAAGACCATGAAGCTATAATAAATTGCTCCAGCATGCATTAAAAACTGAGTGCTTGGGAAAGTGTTTTATTGAATTTCACAAATATTCCAGTGAGTTTATTTTCCTTCATGAAGCAATGCTTTAAGACAGGTAAGGACAAGCTAGAGTTTCTGTTACACAACAGCAGGCTCCTGTGATAAACCTGATTACAATACCCTGTCACAGGCAAACTTCCTGCTCAGCTATTTAAAAAAAAAAAAAAGGAGTGCAGGGCCTCGCCCTTACTTATTCTTATTGTTGTTTTGAAGCAAAGATTCAGCTGAGAAAAAGCTAATGCTCCATGCACCTGTTAGTCCAAACT